CGATTCCGGTCAAGGGCATGTACCTTGGTTGCGGGCACATCCCCAGTAGGGGGTGTACAAGCGACAACTGATCAATGATTCTCTCTCATTGATGTTTCCAACTCTCTATCCCTCTCTCCTCCTCTCTGTAAAAAATCAATAAAATGTATTAAAAAAATAAATAAAAATAAAGAGGAAGAAGAAAATCTATACTAATAAAAGGGTACTATGCTAATTAGACCGGACGTCTTCTAGATGTCCTTCCTGACAAAGCCAGAGGCGTGGCCGGCCTGCAAACCACCTGCGGCCCCTCACCCAGACCAGCACTGCCCCCAGCAGGGACCCCCACCCCGACCCAGGCCCCATGCAGGGCAGGCTGCCAGCCCCCTCCGCCCATGCACCAGGCGTCTATCCTATATATTAAAAGGGTAAAATGCAAATTGACCCTAACAGCAGAACGACCACTGGGCCATTCACTATGAGGTGCACTGACCACCTCTTGGTCCCTTTCCCTGCCAGCAGGCTCCAATCGCCTGCTGGCCACCTGCTGTGGGGGCAGGGCCGGCAAGTGGGCGGGAATGGCCGACCTTTCAGTCCCTTCCCCTGGCCATGTGGCACCGATCACCTGATGGTGAATGGCGGGAGCCAGGGGTGGATGGCATGGGGGGGAGGGGAAGGTGGCTGCAGGCAGCTGGAGAAGATGGCCCTGATTGCAGGCCAGGCTTAGGGACTGTACCTGAGCACGGATTTTGCGCACCAGGCCTCTAGTGTGACAATAAAAGTAGAAGGAAATACTTTTGAAAATGAAAAATAATTTTACTGGTTCAATAAGTAAAATCAAAAGCTAAGTATTTGAAAAGTAAAGCCATAATTTAATAAATTTTGAATTGAGGAAGGAGATACCAATGAATATATAATATAAAAATTTAAAAATAAGAAAATAGAACACAAAAGTATATGCTCATAAGGTTTGAACATATGAAAAGAACAATTTTTTTTTAACAATCTGTAAGTCCAAACTTCACCTAATAAATATTAAGCTAATAACTTGAGAAGAAGGGAGAAATGTAGAAGATAATTCAACTAGAAGTGCCTGTGTGTGTGTGTGTGTGTTAGTTTTCTGTTGCTGCATAACAAATTACCACAGATTCTGTGGCTTCCATGAATACATATTTATTCTTCTACTTTCCTTGGTTCAGGAGTTCAGGTATCACTTAGCTGGGTCCTGGGCTCAGTGTTCCACAGGTAGAAATCAAGATGTTGGCTGCACTGTGTTCTCATCTGGTAGTTTGACTGGGGGGGACCTGCTTCCAAGGTCATTGGTTGTTAGCAGAATTCGTTTGCTTGTGTCTGCAGGGCTGAGGGCCCAGCTCCTTCCTGACCGCTGGCTATCCTCAAGCCCTAAGGCCGCCCGCAGTCTCTTCCCAGGTGGCCCTCTCGAAAGGCAGTTAGTTCACAACATGGCACTTTGCTTCTTCACGGCCAAGAGGGCGATCCCTCTCTCCTCTCTACCGAACAGTCTTATATAACAAACATAATCAAGCAGTGACATTCTATCACCTTAGCCACCGGACACACCTAATCAAGGCACTGACATCTCCTCACCTTTGCCATGGCATATTGGCTAGAAGCAAGTCATGGGTTCCACTTGCATTTGATGGGAGGGGATTGACTATACAGGAGTAAGTATCACTCACTGGAGTCACCTCAGCTGGCCACTACATGTTACTACCTACGACAATACAGGTGTACGCTAAATCCCACCCAACTTTCCAAGGCTAATGACTTTACGTTAAAAATGGCAGTCAAGCCGAAACCGGTTTGGCTCAATGGATAGAGCGTCGGCTTGGGGACTGAAGGGTTCCAGGTTCGATTCCGGTTAAGGGCATGTACCTTGGTTGCGGGCATATTCCCAGTAAAGGGTGTGCAAGAGGCAGCTGATTAATGACTCTCTCTCATCCATGTTTCTAACTCTGAATCTCTCTCCCTTCCTCTCTGTACAAAATCAATAAAATATATATATATTTTTTAAAATGGCAGTCAAGGAATTCTGTCCCTTGAAGGTAAGACTGAAGCTCCAAAGGAAGCATGTGCAACAGACAAAACAAGTCTTTGAGACCAGTCTTGGGCCCTGCACCATATGCACTTCAATACCATTGCTACATCCCAATCTACAGCTCAGCTTGTGAGTCTAACCTCTGTCCCCCACTTCTTCCTGACTTCAAACCAGCTACATACTGTCCATCCTTGGCTTCACTTTTTGGTTTGACAAGCAGCTTCCCCAGTGGAGTCTTGCTCTCCATGGCATCATTTTCTCTTGCTAAGGCCATAGGTGCAATGCATACAACTTTAGGGATCTAGAGACATTCTGGGCCTCCCTCCTCGGTCTTCTCTCTTGTCCTATACCTGCTTACCCACCAGGTGTTGCAAATATTCTGATCCGTATGCTGATGGTCCTATCTGTGATTGGTGCCTTAAAGAAAGGGGCAATAACCCTGGCCCGGTGGCTCCGTTGACTGGAGCATTGCCCTGTACACCAAAAGGTTTGGGTTTAATCCCTGGTAGGTGCATGTATGGAAGGCAACCAGTCAATGTGTCTCTCTTACATCAATGTCTCTCTCACTCTCTCTCCCTCTCTCTCTCTCTCTCTCTCTCTCTCAAAAAAAAAAAAAATCAATAAAAACATATCCTTGGGTGAGGATTTAAAAATGTGGCCCATTCCAAGATATAAAACTACATATGCAGCCAATCCTCTCCCATCCATATTTCTTCCTCTCTCTCTCTCTCTCTCTCTCTCTCGCTCTCGCTCTCGCTCTCGCTCTCTCTTGCTCTCGCTCTCTCTTTCTTCTCCCCCCTGCCGGTGTCTGTCTCTCTGTCTCTCCCTCCTCTCTCTGTAAAAATCAATTAAAAAAATCTTTTTTAAAAAAAGAAGGGATTGACAATGAACCATCTTCCCAGGAACTCCCAACTATTTCAGGACATGCATCCACTGAAGAGTATTTTATTTTCAAGGTGGAGGTAGAAATGGTCTTATGATTCCTGAATCCTTTGCAGGATCTGACAGTCTGCGCCTTTGTCCGTGGCTAATGTAGAACTGGCACTGGGACTGTCTGCCAGAGTGGCTGGCCAGTGTTGGGCAGGGGTACCTGTGTGCACAGCCTAAGATGGGGAGGGATTATTTGGGCGGCGCAGATCTGAGGCCTGTGGAGAAAGGGAGAGCTTGTGCTTTCTGAAGTGGGAAACCCTGGAGAGTTTGTCCGAACATCCTCCCAGAGAAGGCGGGCTCTCTGGAGTTCATCGTAAAGTGCCTGCTGCATCAGTAAAGCTCTTGGCTTGTTAGCACAGACATAAAGAAAAAATGTCTCAAAGTCTCCACAGGGAGGGCAATAATGAGAAAGGATAAGAAGCACTGCTCTAGAAAACCTTCATCTGCAGCTATAAACCACACACACATCTCACATTAACATATGCATAAAACAGATTTAATTAATATATTATGGGAAACATTGCCCCATGGCCAAAGAGGCTTTATCCCAAGAATGATTAAAGGAATTGCTACAAAGGCAACTATTATTAATACTAAAAATAAAGTACCACCCATATCACTGGGTTAAATAGTGAAAAATAACAGACACTGAAACAGAACTTGATAAAATTCAGTACCCACTTCTCATTTTAAGAGAGAGAGGGAGAAAATACAAAAAATCACCATAACAAAATACAGAGCTATTTAAAACAGAGCTGATATTATTTTGAGTGCAAAACAAAAGAATTGTTATTAAAAACAGCAACAACCAGCCCTAGCCAGTTTGGCTCAGTGGATAGAGCATCTGCCTGCTGGTTAAAGGGTCCCAGGTTCGATTCTGGACAAGGGCACATGGCTTGGTTGTGGGCTCTATTCCCCCACCACAGTAGGGGGCTTGCAGGAGGCAGCCAATCAATGATTCTCTTTCATCATTGAAGCTCTTATCTCTTTTCCTCTCTGAAATCAAGAAAAACATATTTTAAGCAGAGTATGGTCATATTCTTATAGAATTCTATCAGTTATTCTATCCACATACCTATAGCATCTCCCAATTATTTATATATATATATATTCCTACCTAATAAAAAAGAAGCATGCAAATTGACCACACCTTTGCTATGCCCACAAGCCATGCCCACCAGCCAATCAGGGAGAGTATGCAAATTAACCCAACCAAGATGACAGTTAATTTGCATATCCAGGCCAGAGCAAAGACTGAAGACAGCATAGAAAGAAACCAAGGGCTGCAGAAGGAAGCAAAGCTGCAGAGAAGCAAGCAAGCAGGGCGGGGGAGAAGGGAGGGAATCAGGCAGGGTGGGGAGAAGGGAGGAAAACAGGCGGGCTCAGGGAGAAGGGAGAGAAGCAGGCAGGGCAGCAACTGACGGCAGCAGGAAACGCTATTGCAGGAATCTTCCTGCAATGGGCCTCTAGTATATATATATGGAATGTTTGTCTTTGGGCAATAGGATTTACACTGAGGTGTGTGTGTGTGTGTGTGTGTGTTAACTTTGTTGTACTTTTTTATATTACTTAAATTTTTATAATAAAATTTGTTATTTTTAAACAAAAACAATAAAGTTGTTCCACATTTTCCAAAATCTTTCTTTGTAGGCATTGGAGGTGGATTCGATTTCAGGAGGAGGTGGGTCCTTGTGGCACAAGGTGGGTCTGAGGGTGTCGACAAATGGCACAAGGCCTCTGGGATGTTAGGAGGCCCTCTAGGGTTCATTGTAAAGTGCCTGCTGCATCACTGTGGCAAAGACTCCTCAGCTTCAAATGCCACCATAGTCAGCCGCAGCCACCAAAGAAGTCACGTGGCCTCTAAGGTCAGCAAAGTAAGTCTCATCTGCTTCTAACTTTGGAGACTACCCAACATTGGCTTCATGGTGACATTGAGGCTGGCTCTGTCCTTCTCAGCCCACAAGCCAGAGAGCTGCCTGTGTGACTGTCCTGAACTCGCAGCCACGTGACCAAGTTCCCCACTCCATCGTCCAAGCTGGAGTTTTTTAACAGGAAAGGCATCTGGGCATAGAACGGTCATCCTCACATTCCTGTTTTATTGTTCCTCTTCTTGTATCTGGTTGTCCTCAGATGTTTGGCAGGAAATTTATCATTTTATGTCTTTGCTTCCTGTATTTTAATAGACACGGTGGCAGTATCTGTGGCTACAGCACGTAGGCGGCCGGGGTTTTGTGAGACCGAGCGCATGGTGGAAGAGTTGTGGGCTTCCAGCCCTGCTTCCTGAGAGTTGGCGCTGGCCCTCCCATTCAATCTTTCTAGCCTACACAATGTTAACAGGCGTCCCAGCGGGACACACCAGCTCAGCAGCAGTGGGTGCAGGGGCCAGCAGCGGGGCAGTGGCAGGGACGTCTACAGTGGGAACAGGCTCCCGGCCAGGGAAAGTGCTTCTTCCAGGCTGGAGATGCTATCAGACCCTGAATGCAGGCCTCAGGGAGCTCTGCCCAAGGGCTGGGCACCACAGTAGCCACTGTCTCCAAGGGACAGAATCACTAGACTGGTTGTCATAGTAACATGGCCTTAGAAGTTGGTGACAGGCCTTCAGTGGATGTTGAGCACAGAGGACCACAGCAGGAATCACGAGGGCAGCACCTGCCAGCAGCCAAGGGAAGCTTCTCGTTGTCTATACTTACTTTTTTCTTTTTCTTTTTTTAACTAGGAAGATTATTATTTTTGTTAAAATGTAAAGGAAATAAATTTATTGAAAATGAAATCATACTACAACTCTCATGTTCTCCATGTCCTGAGTCGAAGTCTTAGAATTATTTGCTGCAATTTGTCCATCTCCTCTTCGCTCTCTAGATACATCTCATTCGGGTGCTAATTGTTCAGAGAGGCTGAGTCTCTCAGGCTGTATCCGCTTAGACAAGGCAGCAGAGACCATTTTATCGCCTCACCCCCCACCTCTGAATGACCTGTTTCTCCCCTCCGAACCCTTCATCCTTCCGTTCTTTGATTCATGATCAACTTATGTCACTGTGCCTGGCCAGGCTGTTTCCTCTCTGACCATTCTAGTTTGGGCAGATGGCTTTTGATCTACTTCTTTATGTTCATTTAGTTGCATCTTGTCCACACCGAAAGTTTACACCTCAAGAGAGCTACCTCTGTTTATTAAAAATATAATTTCACTCATTCAGTGAAAGTGGATTATGAACAAACATCAAAATGAAAACAATCCTTTCAGAAGAACCTTCTAGCTTCCTCTTAGCCTGCAGTCCACAATCGGGGCTGACGTTAAGTCTCTGCCTTATCCAGTTGCAAACCTTGGGTGACTACTATGTTTAGCCATTTTTACGGAGCCACGTCAGTTCATTCACTCAGTCTGCTCCGACAGGTTTTCGCCTCCTCTACTCTAACAAGCTCTTGCCAAGACCATGCATGAGCCCCTCCTCATGCTAACTACAATGGACATGTTTCAGCTTTCATTTCCCTGAGCCCTCTGTTCATAGGGGAAACTACTTCACATTCCCTCCATTCTTCAACTCCCTCGTCCACTGATTTCTCTCACATCTTGTCCTCCCAGTTCTTCTCCCAATCTCTCCAATCAATCCCCTCACTCTTTAGTGGGCTTCTCTTTCTTCCTTACCAGTCAGTTTTTAGGGTTTTGGTTTTTGGTGGGTTTTTTTTTTTTTGGTTTTTGGGTTTTTTTTAAAATATGTTTTTATTGATTTTATTTGAGAGAGAGAAGGCAGAGGGAGAGAGAGATAGAAACATCAGTGATGAGAGGGAATCATGGATTGGCTGCCTCCTGCACGTGCCCCACTGGGGATCAAGCCACAACCTGGGCATATGCCCCTTGACCTGAATCAGACCCAGGACCCTTCAAGCTGCAGGCTGATGCTCTATCCACTGAGCAAAACAGCTAGGGCTCAAACAAGTTCTTTTATCCTCATGTTTTAACTAACAAATATTTCTGAGCCCAGACCTCTCCACAGTTCCAGTTTCACATGCCCAACCCCTGTTAAGATGTCCTAATTTGCCCCAAATATCACACCATCATGCCACCAAGCACTGTCTCTCTTCCTGGTCTGCACTGCCTGCCTTACACCACATTCTACAGGCCAGAAAAATGTGCTTGCTCGTGGATGGAAATGAGAACCATGCTGGAGTCCCCAAAGCAGAAGTGACTCAGAGAGCTGCTATTACTATCTTTGGTTTGATCAGAAATCATGGCCTCACCCAGCCAGCATGACTCAATGGTTAAGTGTTGACCTATGAACCAAGAGGTCATGGTTCAATTCCCAGTCAGAGCACATGCCTGGATTTTGGGCTCAATTCCCAGTGTGAGGTGTGCAGGAGGCAGCCAATCAATGATTCTCCCTCATCGTTGATATATCTATCTTTCCCCTCCCTTCCTCTCTGAAATGAATTAAATATATATATATATTTTAAGGAATATGACCTCAAGAGACTTAGCAGATACTGACCTCAGAGAGGAAGTTCAGTTGTTTTCTCCTGTGTCTATGTCCCCTTAGAGGCCTTTCTCTCCCCAGGGGAGATGGGGAGAAATACGGTAACCAGTCTCCTCTGCACCAGTGATGTCAGCCAGAAATAAGTGAGTGTGAAAACAAGGAGGGGGGGCTCCAGTGGCCAGAGAACGAGCTCAGTGGGGTTCTCTGAAATGCTCTAACGTGTCCTGAGAATATGAACCAAGCTCTAAACCCTGGAGCTTTAATCTTTCAAGAACACACTTCCTTCCTGTATTTCTAATAATTACTGATTCTGGAAGTCCACCCTCTCTCTTCCAAAAGAATTGAGTCACAGAAATAGAACCATGAGAAAAGTTAGTCTGACCCGTTTGCTCTCAGAAATACATGGTGGGAAGAGCCTCGGGAAATGTGGTGGGGCTCAGGGGGGTCCTTCTCTAGCTGGTTCGTCTATCTCATGGAAAAATAAACTGAAAGAAAGGATATAAAATGTTTCAAATTAGTCATCCACAGGAAAATGATTTTGTGGGAAAGATTTCATACTTGCACTACTGTAATAGTAAAAGGAGTTTTTAACTTGATACCTATTGATGGACTTTATCAGAATACTAGAGGCCCGGTGCACGAAATTTGTGCATGGAGGGGGAGTCTGCACCCTCTCCAATCTGGGACCCCTCCAGGGATGTCCGACTGCCCATTTAGGCCCTATCCTGGGCAGTCGGACCCCTCTAACAATCCAGGACTGCTGGCTCCCAACTGCTCACCTGCCTGCTTTCCTGATTGCCCCTAACCACTTCTGCCTGCCAGCCTGATCACCCCATAACCATTCTGCTGCCAGCCTGATTGATGCCTAACTGCTCCCCTGCCAGCCTGTTTGCCCCTAACTGCCCTCCCCTTCAGGCCTAGTCACCCCTAATTGCCCTCCCTTGCAGGCCTGGTCACCCATAACTGCCCTCCCCTACAGGTCTGATTCCCTCACAACTGCTCTCCCCTTCAGGCCTGGGTCCCACCCAACTGCCCTTCCCTGCAGGCCCGGTCTCCCCCAACTTCCCTCCTCTGCCAGCCTGGTCATCCCTAACTGCCCTCTCCTGTAGGCTTGATTGCCCCCAACTGCCCTCCCTTGCAGGCCTGGTCCCTCCCAACTGCCTCCTCTGCTTGCCTGATCACCCACAACTGCCCTCCCTTGCAGGTCTGACCCCTCTCAACTTCCCTCCCCTGCTGGCCATCTTGTGGTGGCCATCTTGTGTCCACATGGGGCAGGATCTTTTACCACATGGGGGCAGCCATCTTGTGTGTTGGAGTGATGGTCAATCTCCATATTACTCTTTTATTAGATAGGATAGAGGCCTGGTGCATGGGTAGTGCCTGGCTGGTTTGCCCTGAAGGGTGCCCCAGATCAGGGTGGGGGTTCCCTTAGGGTGTGGGGTGGCCTGGGTGAGGAACCTGTGGTGGATTGCAAGCCTGCCACGCCCCCCGTGACCCAAGCAGAGGCACTGGTATCTGGAATTTATGTATCTTCTACAATTGAAACTTTGTAGCCTGGAGCGGAGCCAAGCTTACTGCTCACTCGTGGCTGCAGCCATTTCTGTCAGAATTTGTTTACCTTCTATAATTGAAATTTTGTAGCATTGAATGGAGGCCTAGGCCTGCAAGGGCTGGTTGAAAGCTTGGCTTCCTCCGTTGCTGGGGAAACCCAAGCCTCCCTTCTGCTCTCTGTGGCTGTAGCCATCTTGCTTGGGTTTATTTGCATACTCACTCTGATGGGCTTGTGTGTGTGGCTTGTGGGCATGACTGGTGGGTGTGGCAGAGGTATGATCAATTTGCATATTACTCGTTTATTAGATAGGATACAATCCTCCAGAAACTGAGCTATTTGTTTTTGTGACTGTGCATTTTTCTGAGGAGAGCGTCCATAGCTTTTATTGGATTCTCAAAGGGATCTCTGATACCCCAAAGGGTAATATTCACCTAAAGGTTAACTTACTTGTACTGGTTATCCTTGCTATATATAACAAATTACCCCAAAACTTAGCAGTGTAATAATACAACTAACATTCCTTATCTCACAGATTTGTGGGTCAGGAATTGAGGAGTGGTGTAGCTGGGTGACTTGGCTTGGGGTCTCCTGTGATGTTGTATCATGAAGTCAGCTGGGGTAGCTTTGCTATCTGAAGGCTAAACTGGGGCTGGAGAATCTTGATCTGCTCAGGTGGCTGCTGGCAGAAGGCCTCAGTTCCTTGCTGGCTAATGGCAGGGGGCCTCCATTCCCTGCCACAAGCACCTCTCCACTGGGCTGTCCAGTGTCCTCTGAGTGTCCACTGCTGAGTGAGTGACTGAGAGCAAGAGCAAAGAGGAAGCCACAGTGCTTTTTATGACTTAGTCCCAGGAGCCATTCCTTGTCACTGCTGCTGCATGCTATTCCATCTGCAAGACAGCTCATACTCAAGGGGAAGTAGTTAAGCTCCACTTTTTGGAGGGAGGTGTATCAAAGAATTTGTGGACATATGTTTAAACCACCAAACTGGTAAAGAGGCCTCACTTTCCAGTCTTACTGGCTGTGTCTACAGGCTTCTATTCTAATCTAGCACAGTGAGCTGTGGAGGATATTGTTTTTAAAAATGCAAACTGGAAACCCACTTCTCTAACTCAGACTTTAAAATGTTTACTGGCAAGCATTGTACAGAGTTGGTTCCCGAAGCCCAGCTTGTCTGTCCGTTTCCTGTTGTGGGAGGGGACAGGCTTCCAGGATCTGCTTGGTTCTACAGCTCACAGGGACTGATTCCCAACAGTCCTTGCAGGCAACCACCTGAGGCTGAGGAAGCAAGTGTCCAGAGCCGGCTCCGGTCTGGTCTCCAAGGCCCATCTGCAGCATGCGGGGCCTGGGAAGGAGGTATGACCTGCTACTCCTGGGGCCTCCCGTGGCCACCTCTCACCTCTGAGGTCTGACTCTCTACTATCTTGTTCTGGGGAACTAGCCTGAGTTAATTTTAGTCTATAAGTAGCTTGAGACGTTCTGAAGTGGGTGAGAGTCACCTGCTTACTCATTACCTTGCTATTACATTATGACAAAAGCAAATCTCATTTTACCCCTTTATATAGACACATCTATTAAATAAAGATTCGTGAGCAATGACGCACAGAACATTTCACGCAACCTGCTCAGTAGGTTCCACAAAGTCCCAGCTCCTGTCGCTTTAAGTGACCCAAGCACCACCTGGCATAAATGCTTCACTGAGGGAGGAACCAAGTTCTCAGAGGCATTTCATTATCCTTGTGATCAGTGTAAGGCAACAAGAATAAGGCAACAGCCGAAACCGGTTTGGCTCAGTGGATAGAGCGTCAGCCTGCGGACTGAAAGGTCCCAGGTTCGATTCTGGTCAAGGGCATGTACCTTGGTTGTGGGCACATCCCCAATAGGGGGTGTGCTAGAGGGAGCTGATCGATGATTCTCTCTCATCAATGTTTCTAACTCTCTATCCCTCTCTCTTCCTCTCTGTAAAAAAAAATCAATAAAATATATATATATTTTTTAAAAAGAAGAAGGCAACAAGAACACACACACACACACCCCACCCCACCAAATAAAAACTATGTTGGAAAACAGGAGTGGCTCAGGATCAAGTGTTTGCACCATTCTTACAGGTTCATGCTAATGACCTTACTAGACTCTTAAACCCAGTTTGGGGAATTGTGAGGAATGCCTCTAAAATATTCTAACCTATTCACATACCTTGCCTATCTTAGTAAGAGCTGTTATCTATCATTCCCCATGCTAATTACCAAGCCACTAAATTCATCAGATAAAATCCATTTTTTGATATCACTGTGCTGATAAGCGGTGTCTGCTGTGGAGCAAAATGCAGCACTTGTCAGGGCCAGCTTGGCAGCCGACCTTTGTGATAGAACACTGGCTGACACCTCTGGGACATGGATTGCCCCTGGAATGGAAGCTTAATCTAACTAACTAAACAGCATTACCCGGCAATGCTGCAGTATTTTCAAGTAAGTGACTGATCTCAAGACACTTGCTTTGGCCTGGGAGGGGAAAAACAATCATTTTTCACAAGGTTCAGCGAAAAGCCAGAGGACACCAGGAACATCAGTCCCAGGTCCCGTGACTGTTTGATGGATGGCCACTTCCGTCTGGAAAGACACTGCGAGATATGATTGAAGTCTGTGAGGTTGTACTGAGGACTCCACATTCCTAAGCATCGTGTTACAGGGAGATACTTGTGACCTGAAAGAGGTTCCTGTAGTCCACATGGCTCTTAGAACCTGGTTACCCCAGGGTAATTCAGGTTGTAAACAGACGATTCATTCTGGGCCTCGTCAAAGGTCATAATGAGGCAGCCCACAAAAATCTTTTATTTGGCCAGAGCTGCATTATAAAATTACTGAACTTGATTATTAGTACTTTAAAAAAAAATTTAACCACCATTCCCATAAATATCTGGATTTCCAGCT